ACAATGACAAAATAATTGAGTATTTGTTACAAAATGCTGATTGAATGTTTTTTCATAATTTAAATCAAAATATATTTTTAGTAACATTTTTTTACAATGTCACTAAAGATCTATATATATATATGTATGTATGTATGTATGTATGTATGTATGTATCGTCTATGCATGCTTGTATGTATGCATTGTATTGCAAACCATCTTGAAGGCCTCAGATTCAGATCTAATCCAATTCCAATTTAATTGTTTAAAATATAGAAAAAATGTTAATTACTTTTCAACTTTTATATATAATAAATTAATGTAAATAACTTATTGAATATAGTATACATATATTAATTCATATATAAAATAATATAAATTTTTTTAATTTTAAATATAATTATATAAAATTTATATATTAAAATCGATGAATATTATAATATAATTGGATCGAATGGAGTCAAATTTGAATCCCATCTGATTACATAAATACATTATTCGAATCCAAGATAATTGTATCAAATGTCGGATCGAGCCTTGGATTTTCAGTATTATTGACATGCCTAGTTTTTGTAGACCATTAGTAGCCTTTGGTGTTGCCCAGCTCCATTCTCCCATACATTAGGCTTGATAATATATGTCTAGGCTTAGCATTCAATCTAGCTAGCCCAAAAAGTAATAAATTATATGTACAAAAATTATAAAATTGTCCTCGAACTGGTTGGTTGGACCAATAAAATGGTGACTCAGCCATAATTCTAGTTTAGGTCAACCTCTAATTCATCATTAGTTTAAAAACTATTGACTTGGACGAAACCCTTTCGACTTGAGTGGTTGAACCACTGACCCACTTAAGGGTTTACTTGGCTTAAATTGGGCTGAAACGACTTCAGTGGTTGAACCACTGACCCACTTAAGGGTTTGCTTGACTTAAATTGGGCTGAAAAGATCATCCTCACTCTTATCTTTGTATCATGACCTTTCAACTAGTGCCCTCATATTTAAGGGTGTCAATGGTCCGGTTTTAGATTGGATCCCGTCCACTCCAAAATAAATTTGGACACCAATTCGGTCCAAAATATTTATTAGATTGGATTGGACCTGGTTCATTCGTAACAAATTTATATTAGATTTGGTTGGATTAAGTCAATATCTGGTTCATTGATATTAGATAAGAATACATGTGTCAATGGGCCGGGTTTGGGTTGAAACCAATCTAAATCAAAATGAATTTGAACAGATTGAATGGTCCAGACATTGAATTGGACTAGTCCAAATTTGTCCAAAATGGATTCACATTGGACTGGATCAGATTGGACCAAATTCGGTCCAACTGACACCCCTACTCATATTCCATTTAGCCTAGTGTTTAGCAAATTTATGGAACAATGGTGAAATTCTAAAATCTCTACTAGCAAGTTAAAGGTATGAAGACTTTAGTTGAATTTGTAACCAATGTTTAGAAAATCGAACCGGATCCATCAGTTGGATTGATTGAACTAGGCCTTGGGCCCCTGGCTGGTTTGGTCATTCCCCAAAATTGGATTGCACAAAAAAAAAAAAAAGGCCAAAATCACCAACCTATCCGGCCAAACCGGAAAATCAATGAACTGGTCTTGATTTTAGAAAATGACCAGTTTGTTGATTTTTTTATTTTTAGCATATAAATACAACTTCTAGAGGCCATAACTTTGTGCTAGATGTTCAATTGGGGTGTTCTTGTTTTTTTAATTTCAGGTAACTATTTTAGATCCACATGTTCCCAAGGGGTCGAAGGCGCCTTGCCCCACTATTTTTGCTAAAAACACCTTTTTTGGCTTAAATGCTATTCTTTAATCTAAAAAATTGAAACTAAAATAAAAATTATATGTTATAAAAGAACATAAGTATATATATTAATAAATTGTAATCTAATATATAATTATGCCATCAGGGTTTAACTTAAACCACTGTCCTGTGAACCTCTCTCCTTTTTAGGTCAATACCAAATCCAATTCTCTAAATTTATTTAATGTAATTAAATTAACTTTTAATTTAGACTATCATTTACAATTAAGTACTAAAACTATTAAAATTTATGTTTCACAACAAAACTTTATAACTAATAAAATAAAATTTAACTATAATTTAATATCAACTTATATTCTATTTAAGAACGAGTACGCAAATAAAAGATGCATTAAAATTTAAAATTCCATTTACTTTTAATTTAATATTCATTTTAGTTTTATAGATAATAAAATTAAAATTTAAAATCAAATTTATCTATAATTTAATATCAACTTATATTCTATTTAAGAATGATTACATAAATAAAAGATGCATTAAAATTTAAAATTCCATTTACTTTTAATTTAATTTTAATTTTAATTTTATAGCTAATAAAATTAAAATTTAAAATCAAAATTAACTATAATTTAATATCAACTTATATTCTATTTAAGAATGATTACATAAATAAAAGATGCATTAAAATTTAAAATTCCATTTACTTTTAATTTAATATTCATTTAAATTCCATTTAAAAATATTATAAATTTAAAAAATTCAAAATAATTGATAAAAAATAAAATCCATTTTATAGAAATTTAAATTAATAAATATGATTAAATAAGCTGTATAATTAATAAATAAGAACTATAGAAATTTAAATTTATATTTGACAATAAAACTTTATTATTAATAAATTAAAGTTTAAATTCAAAATTAACTATAAGTTAATATCTACTTAAATTCCATTTAAAAATGATTACATTAATAAAAAAAGCTGTAAGATTAATTAATAAAAAGATTATATCGTTAAAATAAAATTTCCCCCCTCTCCCTCCCTCCCCCCCTCTCTATCTCTGCGAAAACAGAAACGACCCTTCACATCTCCTTTCAATATGCAATGATAATGAAAAATTTCTGAGTTTTTGAAAGAAACGACTCTCCCTCCAATCTATCAAACCAGTTTCAGTTCCGTTCCTTGGCTTTATTATGTCTCATTCTCTCATGATCTTTTCTCTCTTCTCAAACACAATCAGTTCACCACCATTCATCGTCCACGGTTATTGCTAGCACCAAAGCGACACCACCATAGTCCAAGTCATCGTTCTGGACACCAAAGAAGTGCTATTGCTACTGCAGATGAATTGTTCTGGCCTTCTTTTTGTATAGAGGTATTAATTACTTCTAAATGTTCTGGTATTCTTTCTCTAATCTCTACCTCTGTTCTTTGGTTCTCTACAAATATTTTGTATAGAGGTATTGCTTCTAATCGATTATCTCCCCTTTCTTCTTCTATTTCTTCTTTTTATCTTACTTCTTCCATCACTAGACAAGAATCAATCTACACAACTTGTTATCAGAGCACATATATTAGAAGCCAAGTCTTTTCCTTGTGTCAGGTTTAACAGACCAATGAGCTGACATCATCTATGTATAGCTTGATAATGTCAGAAGGTTTACACCTAGTCCCTGTAGGAGAAAGTGAAAACCTTACTACCTGAAAGAGCTTCATTTATGCATATTTTAATTCCTGGTTATAGACTGGTTTAGATCCATTTACAATTTTTTTTCAAAACTTCTCTTGTGGAAATTACAGATTTGGTTTTCTTCAGTTATCTTTGATTGGAGGCGACTTTTCTGATATCGGCTGCCTGCTTTCAGGCCATACGGTAAATGAATCAAACAAGTTTAATGAGATTTGTTCATTTTGGAGTGATTTAGATATCTTTTTGTTTATCTCAGATTTTTTGCCCAACCTGTATTTTGGAACTTTTTTGATTGTTTTGTGGGTACCAACTAACCAAGGTGAATTGTATCTTCTCTGGGGTGTTTCCATATGAGAATACCTTAACTTATTTCTCCTACATTTGCATTGCCTGGGTTTATTTGAGCTTTATGGAGACTAATGGTGTGTATTCACCCTTATGGGAAGATGTTGGGGGTAAACTTGCTTTACATTGAGTAATCTGATATCTCCAATATCTTTGAATTTGACGTTCCAACTTCCAAGTTAGGCTTCCCAATTGGAAGAATCTAACTACATTTGGCTTGGGCCCATTCAAAATTTAGTCTGAACTACATTTGGCTCGGTCCCAACCAGACCTAAAAATGCTAAGATTTGAAAGGCTATGGCATGAAAATCAACATCTAATTGTTTCGTCATTATCAAATTGAGATGGTGAATGGTTGGAGAAATATTACAATGTCTGCAAGATGTATCTAAATTTCAAGAATTTAGTAGAGGTGCAATTCAGGGTTCCCAATTTGAAGAATTTGAACTACATTTGGCTTGGACCCATTAAAAATTTAATCACTTCTTTTTTTTTTTGAATAAATTCTCAACTAGACCTGAACTACATTTGGCTTGGGCCCAATCAGACCTGAAAATGCTAAGATTTGAAAGGTTGTGGCATGAAAATCAATTTGAGATGGTGAATGGTTGGAGAAATATTACAATGTTTTCAAGAGGTAGCTTAATGCAGAGTAAAGAACAGAATAATTTTGAAAGTTAAAGACCACAAGAGGTTCCAATATGTGTAGTTACATCAAAAGAAAGTCCACTCCATCCATCAATTTTTGAACGTCCACATTGACAGGAAGAAATCAGTGCTTTGAGACCTGCAATCCACACCTCAKCCTCAATTTTGTCCTTGCAAGTCTGAAAACCAACAATATATTAGATCCTTGATTTATGACAATTAGTTTAAGAAATCTCAAGAGCCTCAACTTTGTCCTTGGAAAGTCGCATGGTGCTCCAGCAAGAATGTTCACCAAAAGCCACCATTGGAATCCATCTCTTGATCGTGTTCTTAACCTTCCAAAAAATAATGCCTTATTTTGACAGATGGAAGCTGCCAATCACACAAAACTGTTATTCTCTCATTTGCACGTCTTTCTCATGCTAGCAGTTGTTAATCTCTTATTGTTAATGTTTATTACTCTTATTCACTCCAATGAGCTTGTTTTACTATACCTGGTTTCTCTACAACCATTTAATCACAGCTTTTATTTTTATTTAATTTCTCAAAGCTTGCCATTGTAGCTGCACCATCTCTTCTCTGGTGAAGGAGCAGTTGGTTCTTTAGCCACATCTAAGGTATCATTTTTTTTTAATCTTTTCTATTTTTGAATAAGTTGCAAATAATTCACTTGTACATATACCTCAAGGTTATTGTTATTCTAATGTTGTTGATGACTCTGTTTTGTCTTTTATTACAATGGAAAAATTCCTTACCTTCTACCTAAACATTCATGGGAGGGTTTATTTTGTTTGTGCAATTAAAATTGCGTGATTCAACCTTCCTAGTTACAAGTTAAGAGCTGCTTTTAAAAATTTAATAGCTTTGTTGTAGTTGCAATGGCCTCACATCCTTTGGTTTGTCCCGGTCACTACTAGGGAAAGTCATCAATGGGGAAATATTACTACTAGGACTGAACTTAATCAGAAGATTCTTCACACAAATGGAGCTTATGGTTTGACATTTCCTCTCTTATTGAATGGTGATGGAACCAAGTTCTACAAGCCTTGAATTTTAGAATTATATTTGCTCAAAGTTTATCATCTCTTGGTTTGCTTTACGTATTCAATCTTTGGCTTCTATTTTAATTTATTTACTTGCCTTAATCTCATGCTAGTTATTTAATCTAATTTTTATTTTATTTTGCTTTTCAGGTTGAATGCATTTTGTAAGGAGTTACAACATACATGGATGAAGGGATTTGAGATCAATAATTTTCATTTTTATTGTGGTTTATTATATGTAGCAAAGTGTCACTTGTGATACACTTTTACATGTTGATGTATGGATATTATATTTTCATGTATTTTTAGTTTTTATTTTTTTGTGAAAATTTATTTGTAAATTTGTTGTGATGCGAAAATGAATAAAACATATGATTTCTCATATAAATATGTTACAGGTTAGAGAAGTTAAAAACTTGTAGTGGTATAAAAGTTGTCATTATAGATTTAACCCAAAACCCAATTTAGTAACAAACAAAATCATCACTATAGAGATTCAAAACTTAATATAGTGATCGACAAAATTATTACTATAGAGATACAAAGTCCAATATAATGACAGATAAAAGCGTCACTATAAATGCTTTAAATTTAATATAGTGATGGAGAGAACCGTCAGTATAAATGTCTATAATGGCGATCATGTATTATTTGTCACTATAGGAAGACTCTATAGTGTCAAAAATAACTGTCACTATAAGTGCAAAATTAGTGACGAATTTTAAAATCCGTCACTATAGGAAGACTCTATAGTCCGACACTATAAGCTATAATAACACAACTTGTAGTGATGGACGAAATTTCGTCATTTATTCGTCACTATAGGTTTATAGTGACAGATTAAATCTGTCACTATAACCCTTTTTTCTTGTAGTGATGGTACATTGGTACCAATAGAGTCTCAAGGAGTAGTGTAGATATCACCATGTCTTGAATTAGCAGATGTGCTATATCTCCCAGATTTCCATTGCAATTTAATTTCAGTTAGTAAACTAACTGCCACAATGAATTAATTGTGCGGTGCTCTTCATTCCCACTTTTGTGTCATACAAGACCTGACCCACAAGAAGTTGATTGGAGTGGGTAAGTTTCACAATGGCCTGTACATGCTCTCAAGTCATGATTCTCCATCAGCCTTTCACACTACATCAGCCACCACAGATCCATGAATGTGAAATGTACACCTTGGACATATCTCCTGTGATCGACTTTCCTTCATTCCTGAATTGCAAGTGAAGTCTTCAAATTCAGATTGTTGTGACATTTGGGGGGACTATCTTACCCCTTATCTCTCTGGTGCCTCATATTTCTTGGCAATAATGGATGACTATTCAAGAGCAACCTGGGTGTTTTTGCTTAAACATAAACCATAGGACTCATCTTATCTTTAACAATTTTGTACTTACATTCAAACCCAATCGAATAATTTGACTATTAGGCTGTATTTGGTTTGATGGAAAAAGTAGGGAAAGGAAGAGAAATGTAGGGAAACCTTTACAAATCTTGTATGGATTTCCCTATGTTTCCCTTCCTTTACCTTTTCCTTCAAACCAAACATAGCCTTAAACCACAAATTTTCTTATCTTTTAATTGTGTAAATATCCTGAAAATACAACATCCAGCAGCATGAGGGGAATATTTACTGTACTAATTCAGAGGGAATATTCCTGAGATGCTATGGTTTCAGGGCTTTTTTATTTTATTTTATTTTTTAGTTTTAGGTAATGAACTACACAAGAGGGGGCATTCTTCCCCAAACCCTTAGATCCCTCCAATTCAGGTGAAGGTGAGATTTGACCCCAATAAGATCTCCCCTACAATCAGCTAGAAACTTTACCGTCTAGCTAGCTGGCACCTTCACCATGCTGATCTGAATTTGCATCAATGCCCCACATAATGCAAATTCACAACAAACCCCAATTATAGATTGGAAACACTCCCCATTACAAGTATGAGTTCACATTTGCGCCCCACAACGTCCCACATTATATTCTTGGGAACATCTCTCAAAGATGACATCATTGGGTCTGATACTATTATTGAAGAAGATACTCTCAATACACGGCAAGAATGTATTGTGAGACGTTGTATGGCACCCCCTCATGGGGCACAACTCTACAAGTATGGGGGATGATGTGGTGTGGGGCGCATGTGGGGCACGCTTTATGGAAAAAGCTAATCCCAAATTCCCATGCTTGATCTCATTATGTTTGCATGGATTTTTATTCCAGAAAATCTCCATTGCAACTTGTTCAACTAATAACTCATCAAATGTTTCTGAAGTGTAGAAATAACTTTCTACAGATTTTTATTCAAGCTTTAAACGTACATATCAAGAGATTCGGAACAAATGCTGCTAAATTTTGATGAATTCTTCTGCTGGATCAAAGACACCCGTATTGATTGCCGTAAAAGAAAAGAGTCATTTATGTAAAATGTACAATAAATGTGTGGGAACGGGTAAACTTGGTTTTCAACATCTTAAATGATGGGGGAGGTCGGCCATCTACCTATAGTACGTTGTGTAACCAGGCATTAATTGTTTATGGTTATTTAGGCTCAGTTTGGAAGGAGTAATTGTATTTTATATTATTTTGTATGTATTTATATTGGTTTTTTTTTCCAAACTGAGCCTTAGGCTGTATTTAGTTGCAGTGAAATTTTATTTGCATTAGTACAAATGCATGGGAGTGCAAATAAAAAAATGCAAATTCTCATTTATTTTTTTATGTTTTATTTATTTTACTTCATGTATTAATTTGCTTCATTTGTACTACAATCAAACAAGACAAGCTAAAATTTGAAACAAAAATAGGTCAAAATTTACATTCAAATCATTTGTACGGTCATAATTTTGCATCAGTGCAAATTTATTTGCATTGCAACCAAACATGGCCTTAATAACAGCCTTTTGACATGGTGGTGAATCTGGTGATCATCTATAAAGTATAAACATCCACTAATAAGGTTATGTTTGGTTGCAGTACAAATGTATTTGCATTAGTACAAATGCATGGGAGTGTAAATGAAAAAAATGCAAATTCTCATTTAATTTTGTTTTGGGTTTTATTTTATTCTGCTCCATGTCTTAATTTATTTCATTTGTATTGCAATCCAACAAAATAAACTAATATTTAAAACAAAAATAGGTCAGAATTTATATTCAAATCATTTGCCTTGACTTAGTTTTGTAGTAGTGCAAATTTATTTGCATTGCAACCAAACACAGCCTAAATAGGTAATTAACAACTTAAGCAGAACCAAGTGTGATCTTGAGGGTCTTATCGATACCCAAAGTAAAACTAGAATTTTCATTCGGCCTATTTGCAATGAAACTACACTGCAAGTTTGCAACCAAACTTATGGTTTTCAAACCATCGTTGATCCAGATGGTCGGACCGTTTGGCCTGAGAACCGTCTAGGCAGTCAATTCTGTTTTACTCCAAACCAGATCTTTGGCAAAAAACTATTGAAGAAGTCAACAATCCATTGACCTGGGCGGTCAAACCATTGAACTGCTGAATCATTCAACAGTTTTTGGCCGTTTTTTTTATTTWTTTTTGTTAAACGGGCTTCTATTCGAATCGTACGGTCAGACCATTGACCCAAAAACTGGTGGCCAGAACGATTCCATTTCTGGGTCATTTTTTAAAACCATTCCAAACTGAACCACAGTGATTAATGAAACTATTTTTTTTTTTTTTTTGTTTTTGCAAATATTGTAGCCGCTGCATTGATGTGCTGTGTATTGGAGGGGAAGGGTATTTGGTATCATGTGCTGGTAATACAACTCTAAATGAGTAAAATGGAAAAGATTCCTCTAAACGATTGAAGAAAAGAATTTGAAAAGATTCCTCTAAAAGAGTAGAACTGGTATAATTGTAATGTATAGATCCACTGCCACTTTTTTTTTATGTTGTAAAGAAAAAAGTAAATACAATAACAACAAAAAGGAGAAAAAAATGTTTCTATAATTGGGCTTACTCTTATTTCTGCCACTTAATGTGATAAATCTAGAGTGTTCATCTGACAGGAGGTCTAGCCAGGGGACCATCTAAAATTAGTTATGTGTTCACTTCATGTATGTCTGTCACACTTTTGATTGAGTTTTTTTGTGAGTAACATTAACGGCTCAAAATTTGATTTTTTGGGTTAAAATGTTGTAAGTTGGCTTTTGATAAATAGAAGATAAAAGTGAAATGTAGAATACGTCAATGATCTCCCTTGATTTATTAAAGGCTCATTTTGTGTGTTTTTTTATGGTCTTTTGGTTGTTTACAATTTGGGAAGGCTGAAAATCGGTCTATTTCTATTTGGTACGCGGAAGATTTAGTTGCTAAAAGATGGGATGCCGAAAAGACATGAGAAGTCCATTTTGAACTGATTTTGGGAAGCTCCAAATGAAACTTCTTGTGTCTTTCGTGTTTTAATTTTGTACGGAAAGATGCACATCTGTCAAATGGTCTTCAGGCTGCCCAAATCTTATGTCAAAAACTCAATGCGTCTTTTGACTGTCAAGCTACAAGAAGATCTTCTCAAAAGACTTGCCAAACTATGGACTGAATGCTAAAGAGATTCCATATTAGAACCTTTTCAGCGTTCAGCTTTGAGGCTTGTTTGGTTGAAGGTAGAATCAAGCAAATGAATGTTTGGTTTTATTTGGCAGGAGAAAAGCTTAATTAATTAGTAAAATTTAGTAATTGAGGAATATACGGATGGACAATTCTTGTTTGATTTGCAAGAATAAGGGTCTGGAATCGGGATTGGGGCTCTTTCCGATTCCAACTGTTTCATTGGGTGGAATTGTAATCCTATTCCCTTTTTTATTTTTATTTTTATTTTTGTGAAAATAACATGCCACCATTTGAGGGAATTAAATCATCATTTCTTTTTCATCCCTTGGGAATGAAATCCTATTTCAATAAATTTCAATTCTGATAATTTGATTTTTGTCTCAACTAAATAGACCATTCCAAATATTTCGATTCTAACTGCCAATCAAATGAATCCTAAAAAATTAAAAGAATAATGTCATTTTCCTTCAGCTACAAGACAGATTTTGATAATATAAAACTTCTTCCATGGCCCTTTTATATGCACCTACATAGGGGAAAATAGCATTGTCCATGTAAAAAGAATCATTTTAATTACTTTGACTCAGTTTGGAAGAAGTACAAATACAAATAGGGAGAATGAAGATTTTATAGACCGAAAGTACTGTTGGGATAGGTATCAGCTTGGAATTGATACCAATTCATGGATGAGCATTGGTGTATAGAATGTGAATTGTCATCATTTTGAATGTTTATAATTCTACAATAAAAATCAGAAATCTGCGTTGAATCTATCTGTACTTTTTCGATACAAATATATAAAGTGGAATTTGTATTTGTCCTCCTTCCAAACTGAGCCTTCATTTCACATGCAACCAAACCGAGGGGGTAAAGCTATAAGCTATTGAATGCTGAAAATATGAATTTCCAAAAGGGCATTCGGCCTCTAATGCTAAATGCTACTGGTCGTTGATGCAAATGCATCACCAAATAGGCAAATATGCATTTTTTGAATTTGTAGCAGCCATGAGTTTGACCGACGGTATGCCCTGCTGCAGTACAATAACGGGCCAGGTGCAAATGAATTTTCTTTATTAAATTTTCTCGAGCGCAAGACAATTATACAACAGAGAGTGCAACCGAAAATACCGTTAAATGACATTAAGTTTTTGGAAAATGATATCCCCCAGTGTTTTCAAAATCGGTCCGGATGGCCGGACTGGAAAAATCGGGACTTGACCCTAGTTCTGTTTTACCTTAAGATTGCTTTTTAGCAACAAATTATTAATTTGATTAATAAATATGGTTGAACCGTCGAATCAGACAATAATTTTTTATTTTTTTATTAAAATAGATCATTGATTCAGATCAGACAGTCGGACTGTTTAACCTAGAAATCGGACCTAGAACGGTTTTCTATCCAGTACGATTTTAAAAACTTTTCTGGCTTTTATGTAAACGTAAAAGTAAATTCGGTACGTATTACCAAAAACATGCACGTCAAGGAATAAGCCATCTCTTTCGATCTCGCTGTTATAGGAAAGCTGGAAACGTCAATTCAAAAGATGAACAACAAAACCCTATTGCYCATCCTGTTTTCAGAGTAAGAGATTTTGGTTGAAATTAAAGGGTGATCGTTGTGGAGTTCATGTGTGTGTATTGATGAATAGCATCGTAAAGGCAGGTGTCATGGGATACGCGAGACGACAGAGGAGTAGAGGATTGGTATTTCGTCGTGGCTCGAGTAGAGTCACATTTTTTACTTTGAGATTTGTGGATTGTACAACACTGAGGCAATAAAAAAAGCAGGTAGACGTCTGGCTGGTTTTCTACCATCTATGGGCACAATTAAGGAGATCCGTACTATATACTGGGGTACGGGTGTCAATGGACTGGTTTTGGGTTGGGCTCCATCCAAACCAAATTCAATTTGAATGGATTGGATGGACTAATAARACAAGTTGAATGGGACCAGTCCAGACTTAATAATATTTATTGAATTGGATTGAATCCGGTCTATCTGTAATAGATTTATACTGAATTTGGTAAAATTGAACCACTATCTGATCCATTGATAAAAGACAATAATACAGGTGTTAATAGACCACGTTTGAGTTGGATTCAGTCTAAATTAAAACCAATTTAAATCGTCCAGACATTAAATATGAAATAGTCCAAAATGGTTCAGAGTATATTCATTGGATTGAACTGGGCCCAGTCCATTTAATAAAAGCTTGATGATATGAACATGAATATATAGAAATTATTGCACCCATTTGTATTTATGAGGCCTCACGAGATGGTGATATCTCTCTGTACAATCTAAGTGATTAAGAAGGTAACTCATTTTTTTCCATGGTGAACTTAAATTTTACTTTTTAATTAGTTAATTGCAATGATTTTTTTTGGTATTAAATAAAAGATCAAAATGTAAAACTGTATGTCAATTCACCTAACATAGGTGATAAGGACGGCTAACCAAGCTGGAAGTTATGGAGGAAACATGAGGAAATGAATACCGGAAAACTACCCATGCTTTATCAACCATTTAAGGAATAATAAGTTTGTTTGAGACAATTGGATTTATTAAATTATTAGCTTTCTGAGCTAATAATTTATATATATATTTTTTTGAATTTGTTCCAAACTTGATGATAAATTATTAAAATATTTATTTATTTAATATTATTATTTTTAAACATTCTTATCATTTAAATTCCTAAAATCCTGGGATCCCATTATCTCATTTTTAAAATATTTTAAAATTTCTATAATCCTATTTTCTAAAGTATCCTTAAAATTTAATATATTTTTAGATGATTGGGCAAGGGAAATTTGGAGATTCCCCATTGAGGGGGCCTTGCCCCAATTTCGATCACCGACCAATATCATATATGTAATAACCAATCAGATGGTATTTATCAAAATTCACGGATGGATTTTGATTGATCAAAGCTCTTCACGTTACATTCACGTGAAGAAACATAAATACCTACTTGATAGAAGGAAAGAAAGTTTTCTACAAACTCGACATTTTGGATTGAAAAGAAACATCATAAGATATACGAAGAATATTATTTTTTTGTGATTAATTAAAGTATTTTAGTACAAGAGCCATAGACCCATGTGGCCCATATTGTTAATAAAAGGGTTGATACCCAGGACCCCATTTGGTAGGGCAGAAGCTTTGATTGAGCTGCTTCTGAAAAAGACTATTAAAAGAAGGTCTACTAGAATTCTTTTTTGGGTTGAACAATGAGAGACCGGATTTGGTCCTAATAAAATTTATCCTCACACCATCCTCAGAACACGTCAGGATTCCTTACACATAGGCTAACAATCAAGTGTGGAACATTTATAAATTCTTTTTTCTTATTTTGAGTAATTAAAATTAATATTGCAGTTTCTTAATTTGACTCAAGAAGCTAGTTAAGATGTAACCAAAATAGACAACTCAACTCAACTCAACTCGGAAGATCTGGCCACTGGTTTATGGCTTTTAAAATCGGGCAGGACCGGATGGTTGGATTGGAAAAATTAGGAATCGCTCATTCGTTGATTTGGTCAAAGATGTTGATTTAGCGAACGAATTGTTAATCCAGGTGATCGAACCATTGACCTGGATAATGATTTTTTGCTGTCTTTGCTTTTAATTTTTTATTTTTTTTGTCAGAGTCGATCGTCCATTCGGATTGGACGATCGGACCGTTTGACCCAAAAACCGAACCAGAATAGTTCCCTGTCCGTCCGATTTTAAAAACCTTGCACTAACCTGCATCGAAACGTTTCTGTCGGGTCAGCTGTGGATCGGGTTTCGGTTTCCCAAAGACCCGAACCATGATAAAACATCAGATTGCAACCCACAACGACCCACTTTCTGTTGACATATATTTTGAGAGCGGCCTGCAGTGGACTTAAATAGGACAGCTCATGTGCTTGTGCCATTTGAAAAGCTAGAGATAGAGCCTAGAGAAGCTTTTAGAAATTAGAACAACCCCCAAAGCAGCTATAAAGCTCTGGCTGGCTACTCGGACCAGACATCGACACTCAGTTTAATCGCCAAAGAAACGTATACGACCGAAGACATGGAGCTTCAGACCATTCTAACCTTCCTCTCACGAAACCTGAACAGATGGCCTGAATTTTTGCTTGCACTTGTCTGTTTTCTGTCCATCAGATGGTACCGGAAACACAAGAACGAAATATCGCTGCGCTGGCCCATCCTCGACGTTCTTCCTACTCTGCTCCTGAACGCCCACCGGATTCACAGTTGGACCGTCGAGATTGCCAACAAGTTCGGCAGCACAATTGAGGGAAGAGGACCGGTGTTTGGGCGCTTGGACATACTCTTCACATGCGACCCTCGTAACGTGGAGTACATGCTCAAGACCAACTTCGCCAATTTTCCCAAAGGCCCCGAGTTGATCGAGGCCTTCAACATACTCGGAGATGGCATCTTCAACGTCGACTATGACCTCTGGCGCGAGCAGAGGAGGATGGCAAACGTCAACTTTGCGTCGAAGGACTTCAGAAACTTCGTAGCCAGAGTTAGCCGGACGGTTGTGGAGGACGGACTCCTCCCCTTGTTGGTGCACGCCGCTAAACATGAGTCCGTCGTGGATTTGGAAGATGTTTTCATGAGATTCGCGTTTGATAACATGTTCATGGTCGTCTTCGGGAGAAACTCCAATCATCTCTCCGTGAACCTTCCGCCTAACGAACTCGCCGAAGCCATAGACGACGGAACGGAGGGGGTTTTCTATCGGCACGTAATGCCTAAGCTCTGGTGGAAGGTTCTGGGCTGGTTGAAGCTCGGAAGCGAGAAGAAGCTAGCTGACGCTCGGAAAACCATAGACCGCATCTTATCAGAACAGGTTGCGTTGAAGAAGGAAGAATTGCGTAGAGGAGAACATGGAAGTGATTTAATAACCATGTACATCACTGCACTGTCGAAAGGACGACATAATATTAAACAGTTATCCACTGCCAAGGATGATGATGTTTTCCTCAGAGATACGGCGTTGAGTTTCCTTTTCGCCGGACGAGATACAACTGGTACGTCCCTCAGTTGGTTCTTCTGGTTCGTTTCTACAAACCCTCGAGTGGAGGCAAAGATATTGGAAGAACTAAACGACGTAATGTCGAGGAAGAAGAATGAAAAGAATGGTATGAGCAGAGTGGAGGGGCCATTGGTGTTCGATCCAGAAGATTTGAAGGAACTGGTCTACCTGCACGCAGCCTTGTGCGAGTCATTGAGGTTATGCCCTCCACTCCCCATCACACGAAGAGGTGTCGTTAGAAAAGATGTGCTCCCTGACGGTACAGTCGTGAAGCCAGGAATGCAGATTCTGATTTCAATGTACGCCATGGGAAGGATGGACTACGTATGGGGTAAGGACTATGGAGAATACAAGCCGGAGAGATGGATTGATGCCGACGGGAAACTGAACCAGGAGACCTTGTCGAAGCTGTTCTCCTTCATAGTTGGGCCAAGGTCTTGCCCAGGGAAGAACATGGCGTTTACTCAGATGAAGGCTGCTGCTGCTACTGTACTGTTCAACTTCCATATTGAGGTCTTGAACGGCCATGATATCTTCCCAATGCCATCAATGGTTCTGCATACGAAGAATGGATTGGTGGTGAAGGTGACTGAAAGGGTGTAGCTAGAATCTTAAGGTATGCATGTAGACTGGTCTGATATGATTGATCAGTTTATGTATCGGAAAACTGATGATGATGAGATAATATTATTCTTTCAGAAAAGTCCAAGAATATTATAGAATTAAAGAATGGAAAAAAGTGTGGAAAGAGTCTTGTTCTTAGGATTAATGATGAATGTGTGCGTCCTTCGATTCTTCCTCTTTAATTGAAGTTCTTTAATTAAGGGCCTTACGATAGAAAATAAAGTATGCTCTCCAAAGCATCCGCTCTGGCCGGGTGGCTAATAGTGTTTCATAATTCATAGCTAGTGTAAATGTATTTTTCTATTCTTTTGCATATATATAGTGGAGTCTCTTCCTGTTCTTAATTTGTTGATCCATTCTGTTATTTATTTATTTGTTTTTGTTGCTGTGACCGCCGTCTCAAGACCATCCTGTTACATACATAAATCTTAGGGCTCTTATACATATGCCCACGAGATTAGGACACCATATATTACCTAAAAGCTTAACATCTAAGTGGGTATTTGGTATCGAATCAGTTTTTTGAGAAAACAGTGTCACGTAGGCATCACATTAGAGAAAGTGATGCTTGAAACAATGTCCTCTTATTTGGTATTTTTTTTTTATAAAAAATATTGCTCCAAACCACACCTTAGAAATCGGGAAAGTATGGCATGGATCAATGCCATAATATTCAATATTTTTTGAGAAAATAGTGTATTGTTGCCGGCAGTGCAATGATGTGGCATCATCTTGAATGTTGGATAATATAGACCATGTTGAAAGCATTGTTGYTGGCACTAGTACCAACCAAAACCAGTGCTATTTTCTCAGAAAACAACCTATGTAACAACATTGATTCCAAACAAAAAATAAGCACCATTAGTGGTGTTTACAACCCACATACCCAACACTGATGCCAAACACCTACTAAGCCCCTGACCCTAGTGACAATAGGAACTGATCCAAGTCTCCAGGGCTATTTACAAATAATTTCGAACCGACCAAACCGACCAACCTGGCCTGACCCAACTTGATTTGGCCGGTTTTTCTTCACCACTGGTCGGTTTCAGGTTGTAAAGATGGATAAACTGAACCGAATCGAGCTATCTATAAATATACTCTCACTGAAATATTATATATAATATGTATATTTTCGAAATATATATTTTGGTTTTAAATGTATTTCTAATAAATATATTCTCTCTGAACTATTATATATAATATGTATATTTCAATTATATATATATTGGTTTTAAATATATATATATATATATATATATATTTCTGAAATGTATATTTCAGTTTTAAATATATTTTCAAGAAATATCTTCTGAAATATTATATATATATGTATATTTTTGAAATATATATTTATTTAAAGCTGAAATATATATTTCAGAAATTTATATATTTAAACCAAAACCAATCCAAATTAATCTAAACCGACCAGATTAATTTTGCTTAATAGAGGATCGATTTTGATTTAATCTTTAGATAATCCGACTAGATCGGATCCATTAAAAAAAAAACTAGTAAACCGCCTTAATCCGACCCGTGAACAGCCAGCCCTACAAGTCTCTCCTACAACTACCCCTACCCGTTTAAATACAAGGGAATATTTCATCCCATGAGAAGAAAAAGTATAATTCAACAGTCATTAATGAYTATTGGGCCCAGATCTAATAGCTAGGCACAACTTTGTAAATAAATTTAATAAATAATTAATAAACATTCTGACAGGTGTAAAAAAATTTCCAAATTCACGAAATCTAGTGGACATGAAAACACTTGCTAATCAACTGAAAGCGCGCGTTCAGTGATTAAGGAGCATTGGTCTGTACACTATATATTCTCTATGTATGAGAACCCATCTTTAAATTTCAATTATATTGTAGACGTATGTGATGCCAACAATCATGGTTTTCAAAACCGGATCGGACCGGACGGTCAGATCGGAAAAACCGGGAATTGGTTACTTGGTCAATTCCGTTTTTTTCTAAAATCATTTTTTTCCTCAAAATTGTTGATTTTGATCAATAAATCATTGAACCGGTCAATTAACCGTTTAAACCAATAACTGAGCCCCTGACTGATTCGATCATCAGTTCGTTTTTAAAAACCATGCCAACAATACCGTCGTTATCTCACAACTTGGGCCACAAAGAAGGTACACACAAATGTTTTATATTAAAACCCTGTCTTGTCTAGACAACTTGGCCACAAAGAAGGTACACACAAATATTTTATATTAAAATCAAAATGTCTTCCTTATAGTAGTAAAGGGTCCCTACCCAGTACGAATGTTTTTTTTTTTCTTTTCTTTTTGATAGGTACAATACGAATTTTATTTGACACCCATTATCAAGTGTAAGTCTTGAAACATTTGGGATGCGTTATAAGTAGGCAAAAAAATATGAATAAAAAATGTGAAACAATGATAGTGACCCGTTGTAATTGCTATGTTCAATGTTATTATGGCTCAGTTTGAAAATACATACAAAATAATATAAAATATAAGGTTTTTCAATTTACATATTTGTATCTGTACTGTGCCTAAAGTTTTTAACATCAAAGGTATTTAATGTAAGGGTAAAATTTTGAAACTTATCTGATGTTTTTGTTTATTGCTAAAGCCTCCTCTAAAGTTTGCTAATTGCAATTACCTCCTCTGAAGTTTTTGTTTGTTGCAAAAATTCCCTTGAAATTTGATAATTGCAATCACCTCCCCTGAACTTTCTTATATAGTTGCAAGTAGATTCCCTTTGTTGGAATACTTTAAAAAGGGGCATGAAAAATGTCCAAAATGCCCATACTATTACTTTTGATCAAAATGCTTATTTTCTAAGTTTTCACCTCATATGAATGGCTAGCCCAAACCCTTTCAATCTCTTTTGTTAAATAGATTTATTTTCCAAATTTACCATTCATATCAATTGCTCAAAGGTAAAGCTGCAACTTTAAATTCTCTTTTTTTTTGTTGTTTATAAAGTTTGTATTGTTTTTTCTTTCTTTAGAAACCATACTCAATAGTAATTTCATTGGTATTTTGGACATTTTCATGCCTTTTATTAGAGGATTCTAATAGAGGGGGTCTATTTGAAGTTTGAAAAAGTTCAAGAGAGGTGATTGCAATTACCAAACTTTAGGGGAGGTTTTAGCAATGGTTAGAAACTTTAGGGGAGGTTTCAACAATTTACCCTTAATGTAATTGTTTGATATCAATATTTAACACACATAAAAAACATTCATTTTTTGCATTGTATTAGAACTTTTGTAATTAAGTAAAACCATTTTATACATGTAGAAGAATGGGACTCTTTATTTAAAACAGAAGAATAGGACCCTTTATCTAAAGTAGAAGAATAATAGGACTAACACCAAACCCGAAACCCTCTAATCCTAGATTTAGAGGTGTAAAACAGGCCAGGCTGTCTGCAGGTAGGGGTGAGCACTATTCGGTTAAAACTGAAAAATTGAACTGAAAATTTTGGTTAAATTGGTTCGGTTAATTCGGTTTTTGGCTAATTCGGTTTTCAGTTCATTTTTTAGAACTAGAATTTTGATTAACCAAACTTTTTATTATTATATGTAATATACAATATATAATATGTAACATATAATATATTATATATTTATACATTAATATATAAAATACTGAAATTTGATTCCACAATGTATATTTTATAATATATAATATATATTATATGCTATAATATGTAGTAGAGTATATATTATTAAAACTCAGTTTTAACCGAAATAACTGAATTCAGTTTTTCTAAATTTCAGTTTTGGTTTTTATTTTTTTAGTTCGGTTTTTAAAATTTTGATTTATTCGATTTGGTTTTTAACCGAATGCTCACCCCTATCTGTAGATTGGCACAACCCTTTGACTATAGTGGTAGGTTGTGCCAGGCACAACATGACCCTTGGGGTCAGGCTGGGCGCCTAGGTCAAGGGTTTTTGGCACGGCCTGGCATGACCTGACATGCCATTTAATCATTTTATATTTTTAATGTATGAATTGATTATTCATATAGAATAAAATTTTAAGTTTTTTTCCCTCAAATTATTGTTGCAATGGTTGAATTTGTCATTTTTTCCTCCAACTTTTCATTATTTTTTATAGTTACTTTGAATTTTTGTTTTTTGGGCTTAGTTAGGCCCAAAGCCCATGAGCCACGGGCCCAGGCTTGTGATGGGTCCCATTCCTAGCTTGCTCGGGCCATGCTGGGTAACTACTATAGTGAGGCAGGAATGATCGCCAAGTATTAGCCTATAGCAATCGTGCTAATTCTCACCTTTAGAATATGGTTTTGTTTGGATGGTAAAAATACATTTTATAAAAGGAAAAAGAATGAAGATACAAAAGGGAACCAACACAACAAATATAGCAGCGACAATATTCCACACCTTAAGAGTATCTCTTGGGCTCATTCTTCCCCTCTGAAGAAGAGTAATCCCATACTCTTACTAAGTTGCATACCCATGTTCACTCCCCAACTAATACATTTGGTTCTTGGATTTCAGACTCGTCATTGACACCATGGTTTTCCTCTTTAGCCAAACCTTAACCAAATCTCCAAAATTTACTTCAAGTGAAGGGCAGCAACCTTAGAAATTTATTAGTCAACCAACTTTAAAAAGAAGGTATAATAATACAGGGGAGGATGTAGCCTGCTTTGCCCCAAAACCCAACAAAAGAGTACACTTCTTACACTATCAACCTAGCCCACAAGCATTAAAGAAGCAAAAAAAAAAGGCTAAGAAGAAAATACATTAATCAATACGTAAGACAGGAATCTTCATATAGTCTTCCCTCAACAAATTTCTAAGGTCTCGAGGAATATCTTGAATTGTGTTAAAAATCTGAAATCTCTTTTTTATAATTCCCATGTCCCCAGAAATTCTGCACATCTATTTCCTTCTGAGAGAATTTAATCCTCAATAAATTGCACATATCCTTGATATTTCTTAAGAAAAGGTAATATTCCAAGGAC